GTTTGGGGTCTAAGGTCTAGGGTTTAGGGTATATACCTAGAATCTTAAGGCCTACACGTATCCCGAACCCTAAGCCCTAATTCCTTTGTATCCTTGTACCGTGTACGGACTCTCCGTAGCCATGATAAGGGATTACAATACTACCCTCCCCAAAGGTACGCCCCCAGATTTAGAACCCTATTAGGCCTTATTAAGCCCTATATAGTCCTTATTAGCTCCTTAAACCCTGGGGGGTGGTAAGTTTGAGGGGGGTACTATTGTAATCCCTTACATGAGGATGCGAGCTTCTGCCGAAGCACCTTCAGAATCTGTGGAGAAGACGTCGGAGGTTCCGCGGGCCCCAAAGGGTTTAGGGTTTAGGGTTTAGGGTTGGCCCCGAAACCCTAAAGCCCTACCTGCGCGTTGGATGTCCTTCCCTTTTTGGGTCATGCCCATGTATATACTCCCAGAGGGTCCATGTACCTACACAGCATATACTTATGCCCCAAAGTACCTATATGTAGCTTATTTTTCGGCTTTAAATATACGATTATGTTGCTACATGGACCCCTTTTGGTGCACCCTAAACCCTGGACCCCTAAACCCTAAACCCCTAAACCCTATAAACCCCCCTAAACCCTAAATCCCTAAACGCAAACCCCCTAAACCTTAAACCCTAAACCATGGACTGGGGATTTGAGGTTCCTGTAGCAGCTGGGATCTGCCTGGGATAGCGGCTGCAGAGGGGATGGTACCGTAAACCCTAAGCCTTAAGCCGCTTTAGGATTTATCTGTAGCGCTGCCTTAAAGGTGGGTTATATAAAATATAGGTGATTAAATGTAGGACTTAGGATTTGGGGTTTATGGTTTAGGGTTTGGCGTTTATCTGTTAGCCCCAATAGCCTACAGTTTGATAGATTATACCTACTAATCAAGGGGTCATTAGCACTAAGTTGTTTTTGGTTTAGGTTGTCTTCTAAGCAAGGTGTCATTGCTTGAGAGGTACAAGGCGGACCATTTTGGCACAGGCCCCAAACTCTAGGCCGCTTTGATATCTGCAAGAGTTGCAGGAAGGATGAACGTCTTACCTGGAACACTCAAATTCACATAAGACTTGCTTTACACAATGGGTGTCTAGATTTTCGGGGGGTATGGTAGGGCGGAATTAGGGGGCACAATGGGATGTCCAAGTTTCGGACTCCTTGTAGTATGTGTCCCACGTACTTTCAGGGGCGTCAGGACAGGGCCCAGGCTTCTATCTAAAGAAAATCTTGATGGAAACCTCGACTTTAAGCTTTGAATCCTTCATAGCCCTATATTCTGTATTTACCGAGTGACCTTCGAAGAAATCCTATGAATATGGCCTCCAAATTTGGATTTTGGCATGATGCCCAGAGTTTCGACTGTAGGGCTTTATACTGTCTAGTTGCTAAGGCTTCGATATTTATGTATTCATGTGTTCCAGGGGCTGTTCTCCGCCCGAGCCAAATGTAAATTAGGGTTTTGGGGTTTGGGGTGTGCATAATGATGAATATTTTTCCCTCACAATTGTCATGTGAATATGGTCCCTACACCCTAATAATGGCCCCTAACCCCTGGTCTTAGTTAAGCATTCCTCTATATGAGGCCGCACTTCAAAGCACGGCTTGCCGCCTTCGACGCCTATACTTCCCCCAAAACCCTTCGACCGAAAGCCTTAAACCTTGAATCACAAGCCTGTACTGCGGCCACTTCTTGTGGCAAGTACGTCAGGTTTAGGGGTCAAAGGTTTTTTGTTTAGGGATTGGCTTCAGGTTCAGGGCGTACTGCAGCAGAAAAGGAACATGAAATGGAAATGTCATGGAAACTGCTAGGGTTACATAGTTACAAAAGGATGCAATGGTGTTCTAAAGGGGTACCTAGAGTTTATTGAGTTTACACAGGAATAATGGGCTGTGATGATTGGATTGAGAAAGTCCATTTTTGCTTTCAGGAGTGCACGGCCAGCGGCGATGAGAGCAGTGAGAACTCCTCCAGCGCGCATGTTTAGGCCGTATTGCTGACCGCCGTAAGTTTGGAGGTAAGGGCAGGGGGTGAGATTCTGTGTCGTGACGGGAGCACCCGGAGTATCTCATGTTTGTTTGGCAGTCAAGACGATGGGATTGCAAGGGTTTCTTTGGCGCGTAAGTCGCGGGACACTGGCCCGTAAATACCCTAAACCACCCACCACAGTCTGCCTCGCTTTCTTTGCCACGCCCTACACTCCAAACGTAGACGTCTTGAAGCTATTGCTTATTCAGACAGCTCGTAGCCCCAGGCACTTTCCATTCGGAAGGGAGTCCGCCAAGCGACGATCACAAGACTTCAGAGTGCATGCATGCACGAATGTCATGCATTTGTGTAGTTACAAGGTGGGTAGTTCCAATACCACACCCGTGCAACCGCCATGAAGCCATACAGCTGCCAACCTACAGTTCTCTTTCAATGTACCTGGAGTAACCCAGGATCTGAGCATGACAAAGATACAATGTGCTAGGAGCAAAATCCTTTAGTTGCGAATGGGTACATTGGCTACTGTAGGTGCATGTGAGAACCGTCCTCAAGGGTTTTCCGTAAACTTGGCCAAAGAAAGCCAAGTTACAACCAGGTAACATCCTCTAGCCTCTCAAAGTCTTTTTATTCTAGACACCATTCCTAGCCCCTAAGCTCCAATTCCTAATGATTATCACTGCTTGCATGTCTTTCCAGGCTCTGTTCCATTTGATCATCTATTATTATCCTAAGTCCTAATAGAACGCCGCATATCCCTATGTATCGTTAAACCTTAGTTCCTACCTAGCCGTAAACCTCAGAAAAGGCCACTCTGAGACGCCCTGGCTCATCCTGGTATCAGGCCCCTGGGTAACTCTCATATGAGTAGTGTTTTGCTTCAGGACGCTTAGGATTGAGGGTTTACCGCTTAGGGCTTAGTGGTAGAAATTTAAGAGTCGAATGGAAAATGGAATGGAACATTCAATTGAAAATGGGATGGTGTAGCATTTCTAATGGGGGTAGTTTAGTCCCCAAAACCCAGTAAGCTATTCCTCTCTCTCTGGGGTTCTTGTTTTTTGTAAAACGAAGATAGCTTTACTTGGTTCAACCACCCAAACAGTGCTGCTCATGTGGGGCTACCCAAAACAGAAGGGAGCTTCGTGTTGGGGCATCCTTGTGATAGGAGCTGTAGAAGGAGGCTGTTCGTGGACCGTGGTTCCGGGAAACCTCTCATACCAGCAATCTCAATTAGCAGTACAGGTCCGCGTGTAGGAGTCTCTGATAGACTGCGGTATCCCAAGTCAGCTCACCTGCTCTTGGGAATAAGATCTGCGCAAACCCTATTGGAGAACCTTCGCATGGATGGTCTGGACAGCTTGTCGAATATAGCCCCCTTAAGTAGATAGAACATGGGGTGTATGGGGATCTTATTATGATATACCCAAAGCCATATTCTATCTGTTTAAGGAGAACTATAGGCTGATGTTGGGTTATTGTGTGGCTCAGAGGTTTGCCATGCTAGAAGTACATGACAAAAGCTTGCTAACTTCACCCGGCCAATCATGTAGTGGAACCTTGAGGGGTTTGCTGGAAAGATTGCCTCTGGCTGCAGGCTACGAGTTGTGTTTTCCTGTACAGTATGCGCAAGAGCTTCCTATCCTGTGATGATGAGGGCACGTCTGTAAAGTTTTGCTGCAGCTGACGCGGTCTCGTGTAGTCCATGGCCTAGAGCTCACAACTTTCTGCTAGCTAACACTTCAGCTGAAAGCTGAAATGAGCTTTGTTGGCAGGGTTTCAGGGCAGCTAGGGCATAGCAATTGGAGTCCTGCTCTATCCAGATGCAAGAGAATCACACAGCCAAGTCCGCGAACCCTCCGCAGCTCTGTTCAAACTAGGTGGCCTGTTCTGAATCGCTTAAGATATGCTTCATGCGATGTTGTTTCGTGAGTGTTGTTTGGCCTTGGGATAGATGTTGTGATCTGTCGATTTGTACAGGAATCAGTAAAAACAGCTTTGCAACAGGAGCGGGCCAGTTGGCTGCAGCAATGCCCCTCCTTGCATGTAATCACCTCCCATTAAGAATAGCAACCCTCACCCCTGCAATGTAACATACTCCAAGTACAGTACCAAGCTACCATCGGACCATCCGGGCACATTTTCTATTAGGGGCTATAGGGGTTGATATTAGGGGGAGGTGATCAGTCATGTGCCAGAGTTACAGTCTCCGTACACCCTAAACGCGAAACCCTAATCACTAAACCCCAAACCACCTTGCAAGTAACAGGACTCTCAACCCCAAGGGTCCCAGCATTAACAAGAGCCCAAAATATTTCACCCAAACCTACCTAAACCTCCCAGTTGCCTAAATAATAGGTTATCGGGCTATGCAAGTATAGGGTATATAGAACCCAGAACCCATTATTGCGGTATACAGCAATGACATTAGCCACAATCTCAAGTGCTGCTTGTTTTTCGAGCTTGGACCTTCAAACCCTAAACCTTCAGGTCGACAATCGTTACAATCATTCATCCTCATATGTACAGTATTCTCGAAAAAGACGCGCAGGGTAGCATAGGCAACCGCAGAAGAGAAACCAAAGCTTTGGCACATGCACGCGCGAACACACAGAGAAAGTGCACAGATTGCTTACTTCGGCTCTTGCTCCGTGCAAGTGGCTCCAAGTACCTCTACTGATGCTGGCTACAACAGGGAACCCCAAGAATGTGGTAGGAAAAGAATATAAACATACCTACCAGGGTCCTTATGTTCCCATCATCTTCCTGCTATATGTACCCTCGACTGGTTTATGTCCCATAGAGCCATCAAGGTTTCTGAAACCTTTTGTTTGTTCAGGTGCTTTTGAAGTATCCCGGCCTGCACGTGTGATTTACAGATTCTGGGTTTAGGGCTTAGGGATGTTCTATGCTACATTTCCTGATGTTGTACGGGTGCAGGACTCGTGAGCAGGGCTTTGATCATAACTTATTGAAACCCGCATGTTGCGTATAGTTATGAAGTATACACTTAAGGGGTTCCCCTAGAACTACTTCAGGGTCTATGTTACTATATAGCTACATGGACCCTTTGGGAAAATTCCTCTCAAGCCAGCGACCCTGCGACCCACCAGTACCAACCATGTTCTCCGGCTTGCGCATGTTGAGACCACAGCAGTTTCCACAGAATCCCTTGTATGGCCCTGGAAATCCGAAACCACCCTGAAGGCATGTCGGGGTACCTAGGAATATGTAGGGGTATATAGGGATTTATGGAGTTTAGGGTTTAGGCATAATCACCCACATCATATACCCCATGTAGGGGTATATAGGAATGTATAGGGGTGATAGGGATTTATAGACTTTAGGGTTTAGGCATAATCGCCAGCATCATACACCCTAAATGCATGTAGGGGTATGTAGGGTTACATAGGCTAGTATATATATATATATATGTACATATACATATATATATATATAGATAGATAGATAGTTTAGGGTTTAGGGTCTGGAATCCTGGATAATCACCAACATCATTCCCTCATCATCCTTGTGTAACGTTAAGGGTCCATGCGTTGTTCCGATTTTTGCGTTAAGCGCCTCCAGGCAAGATTGGACGCCCCATTCACCTTCATTTTGACTCATGCGCAAAAAGTTGTTTCGTGGATTTCAAACATGCAAGGGATCAAAACACAGCGTTCCTGCATCACCCTGAAATCTTCACAGCAAACTCTATTTGAGACATGAATCACAATTTACTAAACAAAATATCGTTCTATTCCACGTAGTGATTAGGTTCTGAGGATTGTGTGATCTCCAGGTATTCGGAGGCCACGTCAATGTGCAGGCAGCGGCGTCATCTTCCCTCAGCTGGTAGCTTCCTGCTGAGAGCGGAAAACCGCTGTGCTGCATATCAACCTCGGCAGCATAGTGGAGGGACCGGAAAAGAAGCAACAGTGAGGTGAGGGCTTTAGCCATTTGATTCAGTGGCAGAAGGCCGCCACAAAATTTTGTGCCAACATCCGCATCTGTAATAATCTTCCTGGGGCTTCATGGACATTCCGGGAGGTGAATCTCTATATGTTAATCCACATATTCTCACCATACATACCCTATTTCCCAAAAGGGTCCATGTAGGTATATAGTATATGCTTCCCCCAAAGAGGTTACCATACAAGTATTTTGGGGCGCAAGTATATACTATGTAGCTACATAGACCCTTTGGGAATAGTTAGAGTACCCATATTGACCTCACTGCTCCCCTTTTAACGCCAGTAGCTGGGTTGCGCCAACGACGCCGTCACTGCCGGAGGGCCCCTGTTTAAGGATTCTGCGGGGTTCAGGGTATGGGGGCAGATTCAGGGATCTCCCACATGCATAGCACATACTTTGGGTTAGGACCTCCAAAATGGAGATGCTGGACAGAATGGCAGAATCTAGAAGTGTTTTTTTGATCAAGGTTTTTGCAACTTTCTGCACATCATCCATCGTGATAAGTTTATCCAACCTTTATCAGGACCGTCAAAGTTCCCCCATTAGTAGTGGAGGTTTCCGACAGTTTGGGGTTCATGTTTGGGGGTCGTTGGAAATGCTCGAGCCTGAGGGCTCCAAAAAACCGGATACCATTTGTAGACTTGCCGGTCCAGTAGGTAGTGTTATTATGTATAGATTTAACGTGCCTGGGAACCATCTCCAAAACAAAGCCCGACTGTATTTATTCATATATCATCTCTGTTTTAAGCCCATAGCCACCCTCAACCCTAACCCTAAGTCCTAAACTCTCCAATTCATTTGCGGTCTCTCCTTTGACGGGCAAGCTTCGGCCAACAGAAACCTGCATGAGACGGGACAGAAAAGCCAGGCAGTGTTCTTGATCGAAATACTATACACATGTAGGAGAATATGTATATATATATATGTGTATATGCATATTTTTCATAATTATCAAAAATCGACAGAATCTTCATCGGTGGAACCACCCAAGAAGACAGCTGGTTAGGTGAAGAGCTTGCCAAGGCTACCAGG